AGGAACAGAATCTCCGAGTATCGCGGGTTTGTCAAAGGAAACGATATTTGCCATCGGGAGGTGGAGGAGGGGTGCTGTTAGTACTTATCATTGTCGCCGTGGTCTATGTGAAAAAAGAAAAGCAAAGGGAATTCTACATCAGGTCTGCTGTGTTTTCTTGGTGATGTTATGTTAATTGTATTTATACAGTGTATGGACGTTTAGTGTGCTTGTACTATTGTTTTATATAAGTAATATTAATTCAGTATTTAAAAAAGTTCTTTTTTACTACATGTATTTCGGAACGTATTTAATAATTGTTCACGGGAAATTAAATCTTTAACGATCGTGCTCCTGTTGTTTTTTTCGCTGAGTAATACAATTACGCATTTTTTGTCTTTCATATACACATGTCTACAATCAATATGCATGATATTTGCATTGGCCCAATACTTTTGGCGGAATCGGCCATTTTTATTAAGAGTCAAATTTTTATTTTTTAATGACGATAACAATGCTGTGTAAATGGCTTTTTTTTTTTCATTTTACATGAATTTCCACTGACGATTTTATGGACTCCTTTGACATTTATTCTCTTTTATTTTTCAGATATCCATGAAAGGAGATCCAACTATAGGAAGAGCAACGTAAGTAGGCCTGCACTCTTTGACAGTTACTGATATAAAATGATTGAAGACGTGGATTAAGAACAGTCATACATGTTTTTAACAAATATTCGGTCACATTTTATGAAGTCGGCCGTGGAATAAAGGTATGTGGTTAATGATAATAATATACCCGTAAATGGAACTGCTACGTGTATATAATATTAAAAATTGATGCGCCTCTGTTGATCTCATTTCAGTCTTTTGAAAAGAACACAGAAAATGCAGATGACAAGAGGAAGAGCAACGTAAGTAGTGTGGCTCTTACTGATACTTTCATGAAAATATGAATGAGTAAATGGAGGGGTAAAAATAGGAATACAATTATATTTCAACAAATAGTTGGTCACATTTTTTTTTATGAAAAACAGGCGTGAAACATAGGTCTATATATATAACATAGGATATGTATACAGGGTATATATATATATAGAGAGAGAGAGAGAGAGAGAGTACCCTTTGATGAAACTACTTTTCAAATAGTTACATTTGTTCTTTTAAGACTACATAAGAATTTGGTCATTCCAGCCCCTTGAGAAGAACGTAGAGAGCATCCACTACGCCGCTTTGACATTACATGATAACCCCAAGATGGTTAGTTTTACAGGAAGAGGATCAGCTAAGTCAAAAACGTTAACTGTAACGGCAGAGTAGTGTACGCAGCTGTTATGGCCTACTAGAAAACCTTTATACCATTTCTGCTTATTCTATGAATCTGAATTTGCCTTTAAATATTGGGTTTCTCAAATCTTTAAAAAGGGAATTGTATTTTAAGTATCAGTTTCTGTCACATTTTTTTTTTGGGGGATGATACAGACTCTGTCTTAACCAAAGTTGCATATTTACACATGTATGTGTGTTTACCTCTGCTAGGAAATACTGAATTGAAATCTTTTAATAAGTTTGTTATAAGAATTCCAAATTTCGGTATTCGCATCTTTACAGTGGATGGAAATGGGTTTGTGAAAACATGATGTCTTTATAGCGCTGATTAAATCATTGATGTAAAGACTTTGTACCTATATTATTTCTTGACGTGAGCTCCCTCACTGTTGTTCATCAATTTGATTATCACCCAGGCGCAATTGCTTAAGTATATAATTACGTGTATCCAATAAAGAAACTATATGGAAAAAAGTGCAGCTGCATTTATTGGGTGTAAACTAATCACATAAGCACAGTATGATAGGACAAAGATTATAAAATATAATGTAAACGCAATCCAAAAAGATAATCAGATATAAAAACGGATACTCAATTCTTCTATGTACAAAAATAAGACGTTGAGTGAGAATTTCAACCTGATCGTTTTCATCAAGATCACTTAGAGTCAATGATATGTTTCCTAAATGATTTTAACTATTAATTCAAAGATCATATGCAATCTTGTAAGTGTTTTTCAAAACTGTAAACATTAAATGTATAACTTGGATAATATAAAAATGTTTTATGCCACAATATTAAAGAAAGGAGTTTGCTTTACTACCTTCCAATTACGAATAGCAGTTCGAATTACGTCAAAAAACGGAAATACAGTCGGTACACCACACAGCACATGTGGTGCCCACAATTCTCTTTTACATATCTTTTTCAGATCCCCGTTTCGGAATTTAAGTAACCCATCCCATTACAAAAAAATCGTTGTAGGGAAATAAGGTCTCTTTTAGAACTCAAAGGACTGTTTCTTCATGGACATAACCTCTTTGCAACCCCACAAACGAAATTTGTGCAAAATTGTTTGAAAATAATAACTTTTGTTAACTCGTCACATCATTACTTTAGGAGTCTTATTTAATATTTCATATTTAATTTTTATCCCTAAGGCCATAACATTTAATGCAGGCAACAATTTGCTACATTGTTATTATTGTTAAAATTATTAGGATAGTGAGTTTATATAATAAAAGCGACCTTGTTTGGCCAAATCACGAACAACCGATAGTCTTTGTTGCCTTCTCTTTTGTTATGAATGGGATTATGCAAGTTTGTGGTGCACTGGGATGGAGGAGACATAAATCTTTAACTATTGGACAAAATGAAGCGTTCTTTGTTACCGTATCTACGTTCCTACTTGACAACATTGAAATGACTTTATTTTATTTTATTTTTTTTTGTGTGTGTGTGTGTGTGTGTGTGAGTGTAACAATATTATCGACTTATTTCCTGTGTAATCACAAACCTGCTGTTTTAATTAGCCTTTTGTTCGTTTGTTATAACTTCTTAAAAATATTCTTTCTTTTTGTTTTACACGTTGTTTCCTTTAATGTGTGTGTGTGTGTGTGTGTGTGCACAATTTGTTATTTTCTTGGTCTTCAATATCAAAAACGCGGAATACCAATTCGCACTCTCATTATGCGATTTTGAATAAAAATGTGCCTGAATTATTCCACCTTAAATTAACAAAACCGATTGGTATTCGGCGAATGTGCAACAATAGTAGCATTTCATTCAGAAAACAATTATACACGATAAAAACTATACGTTGATGATGCAAAAAAAAAAAGAGTATTTCCCAATCTTTTAGATATAGTCTCAGATAAAATCTCAATTCTTTAAAACCACCAAGAAATCCACTTCACAGTTTCTCTCCCTTTATCCTGTTCTCAATGTTGCCATAGGCGTTCTCAGAAAACTGGTTCAGATCGACGTGAGTGGTCACCTCTTCTCTCAGTAATTTCTCCAGGTGGACAACCAACTCCTCAAATGTTGGACGACGTCCGGGATCTTGTTCCCAACACCACGTCATGATATGGTATCTGCAATATTATTTATCTATGTTAGATCTAGGTGGTTAAACACGTCTCAGACATGTGTCTTAAAAACATCTTAAAAAGTTTCTCATTATATTCAATAGTATATGCTGTTCATATTCTTGCCCCTGAATTAATAGTTATAACGTAACATTTATTTTATGGATTAGATATCAGTATATGATTTCATTATATGTGCAGTATATCATTAATGTACAATGTACATGGTAGCTTTGTGTTGAACATACCATGTCAATATAGAAACTTTTTGACATAAATACATGGTTGAAATCATACATATACATTTGTGTGATGATTTCATTAGAATGACAATAAATTGTACTATATAAATTTAAAAACGTATACACTTATTTATAAAACAGAAGCAGACACAATAAACCATTGAATGAATACTAAAAGACACAAAGTGATAGCTTACAATTCCGGTGTACAGTGTTTTGGTTTCTCCATTCTGTAACCTTGGTCAATTTCTTTCAGTAATTCCCTTGCTGACACCATGGTGGGGTAAGGGGTCGCTCCTGAATATCGATTTATAATATTTTCATTTATGAAAATGACGTCATTTGAATGTGTAAGCGTGACGTAAGTTTTGATTTTGCTGAAACTCAAACAATATACTAAAACGAAAATGTTGAAGAAAGATTAGACTTATGACCCTGTGCGTGACTCTCGATATTCTGTGCTGCACGTCGTTTTTTTATTTTATTTATTTATTTATTTTAAGATTACTGAAGAGTATAAATACAGTTCTGATATTGCTGCAGACAGTAAATAGACTTAACAACAGCAGGAGAGAACGAGCGCACACAACAGCAAGGCATTGGAAGGCCATGTTTAACTTACTTATAGTTTCAATATGCAGTGTGGTTGAAACTGTCACACGTGAGTTAACACTGTCATTATAAGATTTTTACTTACCTAGTGTTACAGTCACCCAGAGCAGTATGCCATAGGCCCACACGTCACTCTTTGTGGTATATAACTTACCTAGTGTTACAATCTCCCAGAGCAGTATACCATAGGCCCACACGTCACTCTTTGTGGTATATAACTTACCTAGTGTTACAATCTCCCAGAGCAGTATACCATAGGCCCACACGTCACTCTGTGGTATATAACTTACCTAGTGTTACAATCTCCCAGAGCAGTATACCATAGGCCCACACGTCACTCTTTGTGGTATATAACTTACCTAGTGTTACAATCTCCCAGAGCAGTATACCATAGGCCCACACGTCACTCTTAGTGGTGTACACACTGTCTGATAGAGATTCTGGGGCCATCCATCTCACCGGTAGGGGACCCTGGTGTATACAATAGTGTGTGTTCATATACTGTATTACAATTTACATTGCTACAGCTTTATCGCCATGACCAGGAAATAGCCACAAAATAATACATGGATCCCCTAGAAAATTTTGAATGATTGTTGTATAAAATCTAAACATTCACCACGGATAAAAGACAAAATAAACAAGTAAACAATTCTAAACGGACAACTGGAGAGGTTTAATTGCTGCACGTGCTTACAATTGTGCCCGACACATGACATGTTCAGAGATAGATGTATTACAATTTCACGCACCTGCATTTTACTCAGGTACTCTCGACTCTCAATTACATCTCTCGCGAGACCAAAATCTGCCACTTTGCATACACGGGACTCACTGACGAGGACATTGCGAGCTGCAAGATCACGGTGCAGGAACTGGAAGGATCAGAACATGATGGCGATACTGTTTGATAAAGCTATTGATGCATTTAAGAGCGCAGAGTAAACAAAATTGTTACTGAAATAAGTGTTGTAAGTGCGATTTACACTCGGCTGTGTTTTGTAAAGATGCATAATTATGTTTGATGTTTAAGCGTCATTATGGCTATTTGATTTCTATATTTGTAAAAACAAGCTATGCTTGTAACCTACATCACTGAATTACACAAGTACTGTCATGCAGAAAGGTCACAAATTGATATAGCCATTTGACAAATACTTAATTGATTCATTTTTAAACGACACCAAAACAAATCCAAACCTTATTACCATCAGTGCAGTATGTTCTCTGTTAATGGATTAATGACGTACATGTACAGGTGAACATACAGACGTGTAACTTACCCCATACTTCGCCACATGTGACATCCCCTTTGCTACATGTTCAGCAAAAGTGAGGAGGTCTCTGGACGTCAGTCTATTGCTTCCTCCGTGCAGGTTTCCGTACACTTTCTCACTGCGGCTACTACGTAAGAACGTCTTCAGGCTCCCATTACACATGAACTCAAGGGCAATGAAAACTGGAACTGAAAACGTAATTGTTTGTCTCACAGTAACATTTTGTACAAGGTTTGTAAACAATCAAATATTTATTTATGTATTTGAGCCAACATTGAATATGTATTGTAAGACGATAGTTACCGACTTTATTCAACATGCATCATGCACATGAACATGCACATAGTACCAGGCATTAGGTATACAAGTCACGAAAGACAATTCCAATATCCTCTCAACTGACCTACTTTCGAATAACCCAGCACCTTTGCTACGTTCTCATGTGGCACTAATGATACCATAGTCTCTATCTCTTGGTTAAAATCCTTCAGATCGGCTTCGGTGGCATTTTCTGAATAAAAGAAAAATTATCATATTTGAATTGATTTTTTGGTCCTTATCATTAAGGTGCACAGTTAACATTCCCCGTGAAATACTCCTCCTTAATGAATCCTCAGGGTCATATATCTCCAACTAACCAACCCCAATGTTTGTTCGTCCTTTCCTGGCAGACACTATAACTCTGCAACAATCTGGAAAGCAAAAAATTCCTATTTCTGGCCCATATTAATTATATGCCATATTTTCGAGCTCTCTTCTTGTACTGATGTCAAAAGTTTTCTCGTTGTATAACTGTCTCAGGATGGTTTAAGGGGGGGGGGTGAGTTTTATCAGAAAGTGGTAATTACATATTTTTGAGACATAAGTACATGCTAGATCACGGTCAAAAATTGTTACCTCAGATAATTGCAACAAGGAGTGTTTTAGGAACTTTAAAAAGTGTGTTTAAAATAAACCCTACCTTTCAAAAGTTTAACTGCTAATATTCTGTTGTTATGCTTATATTCAGCTTTCCAGACTCTGCCAAAATGTCCTTGTCCAATTGGTTGAACCAGTCGAATATCCTCCATGCTGCTTATTGACTCTGTCGCAGTAATGCCCGTGTATGCATTCTGCAGTAAAAAGTGTAAGGATATTGAAAATCCATGCGTGAGCTGATAACGGTTCGGAACTTTTCAAAGTCAGGAATATGCCATAATTATAGAACTAGGTTTTGTGGAAAACAAAATAGCACAGAGCGGTCCAGAAGATCTGGCACTTCTCAAAAGAAAGTAATGGATAGATATCTAAACTTTGAAAAAAGCAAACTCCATTCCCTACTTATGGTTCTAAGACAGACCGTATGTAAAATAACACTGATTAAATATGAACATATGTTATGCAAATTTCCATTTATCTATTGAATAATGGCTAAGCTACACTAATTTTAATTCCTTACCGTTTCATCTTCCATAAATGTTGGCATGTCATAAACATGCACCTCTTCTTTCTTTCGATGCTGATTTGTCTTTTTTATACAAGTTAAAGAAACCCTGACTTGATTACGCTGAAATTAATCACATATCAGTTCAATCGGGAAAACATATCAAGCAAAGCACCCTCCAAATAGAGCGATTCCCAAAGAGTCTATTATAATTATCTGTTTTAACAACAGGGGTTGTTTTGCACAGAAAGAAGATTTCAGGGCTTATACAATCCCCTAGGGTCTCTGATCCCCGGAAAAGTTCAAAACAGACAGCGAGAGACATTCCGGTTCGACTTTCTTTCTGGTTCTCCATTTCTATCAAAGGAACCAATTTAATGACTGTGCACGCTATATGGGCTTGTGTTTGTCAGTCAAGCTTGAGATGCAGTACTACATATCTCAAATCGTTAACTTTGGCTTTCGTAAGAAACTGGTACAAAGGATACATACTTGTAATACCACCTTAGTAGCTTCTTGTATGCAAAGGTGCACTCACCTTATAGAAGTAAAGTCCCGTTGCCGCTGTTAAAAAACATCCACCAATTACTCCACCAATTGCTGCTCCAATAACTGGACTTCCTACACCGTCTGCAAACAAAGTTTCACCTGTATTCTGTTTTCAAATCTATACTCGTGAGTATGCATAGAATTATTGTTGACATTCATACACGTTGAACATGAATAACCAAAGAATTTAAAAATACTACTTCTAATTATTTTATGAGTTACAGTATTTATAGTTATCAAAAAGATCCATTGTGTTGATCAATGCTATGAAATTGCTAGCTGTGGTAATAATGAACAATGTCATATTTTTGAGCTTTGGTTTACATACCTTGTTCATGGCCCTCTGTTGAGAGACGGTTGCTTCTTTTCTCTGAAACATAATGTAACACTATGAAAGACATTTCTTTCTCTAAGCTGTATTTCACTCTGAAAATTTAGTGAAATTGTTATTTACTGAAGTTCAACATCCACATATTATTTCATGGTAAAGGACTTAATCATACTTACGGGTTGTTGTATGTTCAGGCCGGGTCGTTGGCTTTTCTCAAAGTAAGAAATTGGATGCAAGAAAGTTTAACAGGGCCTTTTAGAAGTGCGTACATTGTACATATATCTTCATGGAAAAATGTACGCAGAAGAGAACAACAGTCATACGTCCACGGCAGGCAGCTACAACATGACAGGGATGAGAGACATAGGCCAAACAGCAGACAGCAAATTTTCTCAGGCACTCATTTTGACACTCGCTCATGGGACTTAATGGGACTAAATGTGCATATGTAAACATGATCAAGTAATAAAGTACTGGACAAATATTAAGGTTAAGTAATGTGCATAATAAATACTCAAAATGCCCACGTGATTATTTACTTTTATCCAATCCCATCTAATTCAGTAAGTACAAAAAATTAATTTACTTATTTGTTTATTTATTTATTATATTTTTTACTAATTACAAATGTAAAGAAGCTAAGTTGTTTAAATGTAGAATTGCACCTAGTAAATCTATACATTTACGCATATGTTTATTACATCATGTATTATTACCATCATTACTATCAGTGCCAAAAATATTTAGTGCAATCCCAAAATTAAGTGATGTCAGCAAGAATCCACTGCCTTGGTCATTGAAATTAGTTTTTCTATAATGAAGAAAGTGAATTCGGATAGCATCAAAGTTAGCTCATGGAACATTCATGGGACAGGCTGCAAGCTGGAAGATTCTGAACTTGCGAAGAAAATTTCTAGCTTTGATATTTTAGCATTAGTGGAGACCTGGTCTGATAATGATAGCAAGATAGAAATACCAGGCTTTGTATCATACAGTAGTTGAAGAAAAATTCAAAGAGAGCCAAGAGAAACTCAGGCGGGATTGTAGCCTTTGTTAGAAAATCAATGACTGCAGGAGTTACCAAGTTAGAAAGCAAGTTTGAAGATATTCTGATATTGAAATTGAACAAACTCTATTTTGGATTTAAGCGTGATGTCGTCCTTGCCACAGTCTACATTAGCCCCCCTCCTCCCCAAACTCCGTGATCAATGAAAATGCAGACCCATATTACAGACTTCAAGCTAAACTTGCAACAGTGTCAGCTAACTGTGATATAATCATGCAAGAGGATTTCAATGCCAGAACGAAAGTTAACTCAGATTTCATTGCAGATGACAGCACATACTCTACACCAATTTTTGGGGCCCATTATCTCAGTGATGCATAAAGCCAACCCCATCCTAGAAACTCAATGGAGTCCCAAAGATCAGATGCATTCGGTGGAAAGTTGCTACAGCTATGCAAAGATTGAAATTTAAGGAATTTAAATGGTCGTAAAATAGGTGATCATCTTGGCAAGTATACTTGTTATCAACCAGCTGGTAACAGCGTTGTTGTCATCTGCAGTGCCACTTTGTACAGCAGCATCCCATACTTTCACGTAAATGATCTGTGAATATTCTCTGACCACGCCCTACCTGAACTTGAACTGTACTGCAAAACTACCTACAGCAAACATACAAAATCAATTCAGCTGATGCCAAAGCCAACTTAATTCATTTGGGAAAATAATTCGCATTCTAGATTTGTCGAAGCTCTAAGTGACATGGAAACAAAACAGAATATTGATTACTTTATGTCATAAACTATCTCTCCTGAAGAGGCATTACCTTTAGTAAATGAAATATTCACAACTGCTGCTGAAAAGGCTCTTAAATCAAGAAAATACACCCCAGTTCGTCCTCCCAAAAACAAGAAAAGGGCAGAATGGTACAGCAATGACTTAAAATCTCAGAAGTCTCACTTAAAATACTTAGCAAATCTTAGAAGCAAGAAACCCTTTGACAATTCAGTCAATGCGTCATACTACCAAACATTCAATCGATATTAGAGAGGATGTAAGAAAGGCAAATATATATATATATATATATATATATATATATATATATATATATATATATATATAAAGCCTACTTCAAAAGTTGCAATCCATGGAAAATGCAAACCCCAAATATTTCTGGAAAGCAGTAAAAGATTTAAATATGAAGTCTACACAAACTGAATTTATTGAATCAAATGAATTTTATGAGCATTTTGAAAGATTTTGTGAAGAAACAGAATCAATTCAACATAATTTTGATCAAGATTTCAAATGTGATATAGAAAATAAACTAAGGCAAAGTGAAATAAGTTCGCCAGACAAAACTGTAAACTGAAAAATGCCAAATCAACAAGGGAGGACAAGGTTATACAATGAAATGATCAAGTCGGGGAAGTATTTCCTTATAGATGTAATTGCAAAATTGTTCAATATCTTATTCAAAAGTACTAAATACCCATCAATATGGAATGAGGGATATATATAGTCCCAATCTACAAATCTGGTGACGAATCAAACGTTAACAACTACAGGGGAATATCTATAACAAACTGCCTTGGGAAACTGTACAACTCTGTCCTACTGCACAGAATTCAAGCACACGCATCGCAACAAGAGGTACCCCTACCTCATCAAACTGGCTTTAAACAGGGTCATGGTACTTCAGATAACATTTTTGTACTTAGGTCCATTATTACTAAATTTATAAAAGGAAAGAAAAATTTATACACATGTTTCATTGACTTTTCAAAAGCGTTCAATAGTGTTTGGAGGAATGGTCTACTATTTAAGATAAGGACTCTAGGAATAGGAGGACTTGTATACAAATACATAAAGAGCATGTATGAAAACTCAAAAGCATGTGTCAAGACAAGTAATGGTATATCCCCGGCCTTTCATACAGGACTAGGTGTAAAACAAGGTGACACACTGAGCCCATTTCTTTTTAATATTTTTATTGATGACCTCCTAAGATCAATCGATGACGAAACTACTGCGAGTCGGGATATAAATGGAATACCAATCCAAGGTTTACTATATGCTGATGACCTCATCCTTATGTCCACACCTTCGACCAAGTTCGGAAATCGTAGAAAATTTCTGTAACTAGTGGAGACTGACTGTTAATGTTACAAAAACTAGAATAGTAATTTTCAACTCAAAATCAAATGCTCGCATTGAGATTTTTTTCTTTATGGAAAACCAATCCAAGAGGTTAACAAATACATGTATGTAGGTCTCCTTTTAAACCGATCAGGAAGCTTTACAGAAACCCAAAGTAACCTCCTACAACGTGCTACAAAGGCATTCTCCAGTCTGTCCAAATTTCTTCCACTTCAGAGTAATGTTAAAACATCATTGAAAGAGAAATTATTTGATACCCTCATTTCCCCAATCCTAACATACTGCTCAGAGATATGGGGCTACTCTGTGTCAACCAATAACTGCCCTACAGAAAAAAATACACCTAAAATTTTGCAAACAAATCCTTGGGCTCCATCAAAATGTATCAAACTGTGGTGTATGCACTGAACTTGGCCGCCATCCTCTCTATACCACAATGCAGTCTGCATCTATCAAGCTATGGTGTAAAATTATTCAAATGTCTGATGATACATTAATGAAACATGCATACATACATGAGATAAATGGTTACAAGTAACTGACACCCTACATTGCACCAGAACTCCACACGTTCAGACTGGCTTGTATGTCATGGCCTGAGGGGATCCGAAAACTCCTTTTCACATTTGGCCTTGGGGATGTGTGGCTTAGCCAGTCACCTCCAAAAAATTTCACCACAATTTTCAAACAAAGACAAATCGACCACTATGCCCAAATATGCAATAGTAAACTTCAAGCTAACAGTAAAATGTCTCTCTTCCATATACTTAACCAAAAATGTGAAAGGGTAACTTATGTTGATAAAATAACAAATTATGACACAATCTATCAACCCTTGCTTAACTACGTCTTAGTGACCATAAACTCCTCATCGAAACTGGGCGGCACACCAGGCCAAAAACAGAAAGGTGCGACAGAATCTGTCGCCTGTGCACCCAAGGGGTAATTGAAGATGAATACCATTTTCTATTCCAATGTCCAATGTACAGAGCAGACCGAGACCACTTTTTAGGTAAAATCTCAATCCTAATAGCTGATACAAGGCCATCAGACAGTCAATTATGCCAAGCATTTAATAGCGCCAGCAAGGATTTTTTAGTCTCCCTTTCCAATTTTATGAAAAAATTATTCAAGAAAAGAAATGAAGTGGTTGCTCTGCTTGGTAACTCTAAGCATATTAAAAAAACGTCACTGTATGGTCCCATTGTTGTGAGAAATGCCTCGGCAGTGGTACTAAATATGGCACATGGTTAAGAGTCACAGTATTTTTATCTGTGTAACTGTGTTATTTACTTATCCATTTCTTATGTAATTGTTGTTCTCCCTCTCTTGAAAGTTTGAACCGCTCCTTTTGTGTAACATGTGATTGTATGCCTCTCTCTTTTATGTTAATGGTAAATTTATAATTACACCAAGGTTAATCTCACCAGTAATTTACCTAGTACATCTGTTCATTATATAAAAGATATATATTTATTTTCCACACACAAACAGGCAACACAATTACCAACTACAAAAATAGTAATGTATATTGTACAAGGTCATGATAATCAATGTACCAGTACAGAAATAAATTGAATTAAATTGAATCGAATTTCATTTTAAATTATTAATAATTGAAATGGTGAAAAAGCAGCAACGAAAAAAATTAAAATAATTAAAATAACAATAAAAATAATATTTTGTTCCAAGGTCATATCGATAGTATATTTTTCATACATGTTAACACTATGAAGACTTGGAATAAATGTACGCATTAAGCCTAGATTACATTTATAGTCGAGTCGCCACTCCCATAAGCCCAATAGTCGAAACATGAAATATTCTTTGCAGTAAACTTTTTTTTTTGCTGAAATGCATTCTTCAGGCCGAGAGAAGCAAAATTAGCTTGGCTGCTATTTCCGAGACATTGAGCATTTTTCAATATGGCCATCAATTTTTGAGAAAAAATAGAAAAACGGCCAGATGTCGCCGAGTATACTTTATTGACAGCTTTTTTGAACGTTTATCCTATCAGGAGAGCACAGCAGTTCTAGTGAATACGCTTAAGCGCGTACCATTTAGCAAAAAAAACAAAAAAGGCCGTAAAACATATGGCAGAAAGTGATAAAAGCAGCAGAATCATTTCGTTTTTTGCATATTTAGTTTTATTAAAACCATATCCGCTTTTTATATTTATGTTAATAATGATATTTTGTTAGCCATGACGCTAAATTCTCACAATAAGCTGATCTGACAGTTCAATAAGCCACCCAATAGTCTCTTTGCTACTTCTTCGGGTCCCATAGTCAATTACTGTACTTAGAATGTTTTTCCCTGTAATTTTTTTTTTTTTTTTTTTTTTTTTTTTTTGAGAATTGAATATTTTGGGGGTTTAAAAGCCAAATTAATTTGGCCTTCCTTGACAGTGGCTACATCCGGAACATTGATTAATTTTCAAAATTCAAGATGGCCGTCAATCATATAAAATATTTTATAATATCATTGTATTATAAATAAATAATTATGTAAAAAATGCAAAGAGTCGGGTTCAAAGTGCATGGTATTCCACATTTCAAATGAACACTAAAACATGCCCAAAAAGGTTTTAAAATAAGCAGTAAAATTGCGTTTTGAATTGATAATCTGGCGTATAATATTATATATTAATCCCTTTTATTTATTGACAAGGTGCACTAGTAAGGTACAGTTATACTAAGACTCTATAAAAGAGAATCATTGATAGGACTGACCTTTAAGTAAGTTTTCTTTTTTATACAGGCCCAGTCAGATGATAATTTTATCAAGGACCAAAAGGGGTTTCCGCAGGATTTTGGGCAAAGGGAGTCCAAAATGTTAATCTGCAATCAGGACCCTTACATTTATATGGATTCGAACCAAGTCCGTTGATGGGGCCGGGGGGGGGGGATTAATAATAAATATATTTAACTATTGTCAAAATATTAACCTTGTTATTATTTGTTTTTTTTTTTTTTTGTTTTGTTTTTATTACGATCATACTTACCTTAATTTTTGTAACTTAATATCTTGATCATAACTTTATTCAGTATGTATATAGAATTAAGCTTTAAAAATTCCTTTTCTTTTTATTGAGATTGGCATGTTTAAGAAAATTTCATCATTATATAACAGCACTTATAAATATTTTTTCTTATTACTGCACTTTTTTCACTTTAAATTTTATAGAGTCAATAAACAAAACATCTTACAAATCTTTTGGTTATATACCGACAGCCATTATAAACTTTGATGCCATGTTTTTCAAAATAGTTGTTAATTTGAAGCTCTAAACTGTTTTGCTTTTTTTTTTCATATGAATCATTTGTTTCGGACATTGGCATACAGAACCAAAAATCACGAATAATTTCAAAACAAAAATGGCACCAGCCCAACAAAAAGTCACAAAAGTCAATAGCCGGTACGATCTCCACTTGCTTCCATGCAGGGGGCGATCTGTTGGTGCATGCTCGGGTAATAAATGGGATGGTGTCGTGCGGAATCAAAATAATTTGGTTTACATATACTAGGATGATAATGCTTTCAGAATAATCCACAATGTAATTTTGGTTTAGAATAAAAACTAGTTGTCAGGACTGAGATATCCGCAATTAATGTTTGGTTTGATCATAGAATAGCATTGACGGACATATTAGTTTTCATTTTTTTGTATTATTTAACCTAAATATAAGTTTTATTGTGTGCTATGTCTTGACCGCAGGTATATCATTTTTCACTTTATATATACATGTTCCAGTTAAGGCCTCCTTCAGTTAAAAGACTTTACGGTTGTGTCTTTGCACTTCCATTATGTATTGGAGGCCATTTTAATAAAAATGACTTGTAAAAATGAAATCAATGATCGCAATTTGCATGGATGCTAACAAAAATATGCAAAAATGAACAATGGAGTGAAGCATTATTTTTTTTTAATATATGGCTCTTGCTATTTATATAACAAATTGGCGGCCATCTTGAATTTTGAAAAATTATCAATATGTCGTACGAATCAATTGGCAAAAAAGTCAAGCTTAATAAGCTTTTCTAAGTTTTGTGGCCCAAATGAAATAATTTCTTTTTAATAAGCTTGCCAGATATAACATAGCGGGCTTTGACTATGGGGCTCGTGGGCGTGGCAAATGGACTTCCGGGAGATAGCACCGTCTGCCACCATCAGAAAATGTCAAAAAAGCAGTTTCTGAGAGTTAAGGATCATGTTTAACGAATCATAATGAACATAAATAGAAAAGGCGGATATGTCTATAATAAGACTAATTTTGCAAAAAAACAACAGCTTATTTTGCATCTTCTTTACTTTCTGCCATATGTTTTGACAGCCATTTTGGCTTTTTGCTAAATGTTACGCACTTAAGTGTATTCACTAGTCTTGCTGTGTTCTCCTGATAGGATAAACATTTAAAGAAGCTCTTATTAAAGTTTACCCGGCCACTTCTGGTCGTTTTTCTGTTTTTCCTCATAAATTGAAGGCCATATTGAAAAATACTCAATGTCTCGGAAATGCAACCAAGCTTATT